ACGATTATAACGTAAGTCCTTTTTGGAATTCAGGGAGGTATAAATCAACAATAAAATGTCATCTTTTTCTTAGTTTTTCCCTTAGTACTTATTATAATAGACATATCTTTGTGTGGAAAATTTAAAAAGTGTAAAAATCCATAATCTCCCCAAGCCAGCACAATTGCTAATATCTTGATGTGTTTTCTTCCAGTCTTTGCTTCCATGGAATGTTTAAATATCACATTGAGTAATAAGGTCGTGCTGCATATGGATGTGTGTGTATCATGCTTCCTTCGCTTAGTCATAAGCTTGTTACGTTACTAGAAGCCGTGGGACGGCTTAGGGTGGCTGCAGGTCATTGTATCAGCTCGAGCTACTCTGACTACCAAATAATGGCCCGTATTAGCACTCTGTCCCTGGTCAAAGTCGTTTAAGCAAAAAGAGGGGTTCATCAATCTTAAAATATGCCTTCAAAACCATCTTCATCTCCTGGTCCTCTTCCCGCTGTGCTGGCATTAATCGCAACCTGTAACCCTACAGCAAAGAGGGTCACCCTTCCCATCCAGGGGAGCCATTCCTGAAGGATCACTGGGTCGGGGAGTGGGGGTGTGCCCTCATGGGCCCAGCCTGGGTCCTGGGGCCTTCCTCACAGTTGGGGGTTCAGCTCAACGCCCGTCAGAACCACAAGGACTGGGAGAATTTTGGAACAGGGCCTCCGAGAGGAAAGGAGAAGCTATGTAAGCTAGGGACAGTGGACGGGCAGAGGCGATGTGCTGTCGCCATGTTCTCCAGTGTTGGAAGTTATTTCCAATCTTTCCCGGTTAGAAGAGAAAGAAGCACTTTATGCATACAGTATTTTATACAGCCGCGTTTATGTTCTTAGAGTCCCAGCAGCGAGGAAAAAGCTGTTGGTACGTGTTGCAAACTGCTTTGGGGACTTTCTGTCAATTAGCAGTCTTGCAAGCAGAGCGAAAGCTCCTCTCACCCCGTGCATCAAGACCGATAGGTTCAAAGAGCGTTGTGTGTTATTTTAATAGGCAACTTCACGTTACTGGTAACGTTGGACCTTTAAAAGCTCAGTAAACACTAGTTGCTTTTCTTTCCTTTGCTTCACATATCTATAGCTGGTAACCTATGGATTTAGTTTTCTCAAAAATAAAAGTTATGATTGTCGCAGGAATTCATTTCACAGGATACATTCACACACAGCGCTTTCTCTAATCCTCGTACCAAACCCGAGGGGCAGGTGGGATGTATGTTATCGTCCTTGCTACAGGGAGGAGATGGGAGGGGGTCCCCAGATGGTTAGCTTGGGGGAGTTCACACAGATGCGTGTCAGACCCGGTTTCTAATCCTAGCTCTGTCTCCAAGAATCCAATGACCGTCTGACAGCTGCTGGTGACAGATGGGGCCTTTGAAGAAATGTCTCGCCACTTGTATCCAAGGTGTGTAGTGGACACGGCAAAAAGGAAATGTACTGGAACCGTATTCATAGAGCCACAGAACACAGGCAGCCAGCTCCTGGGATGGAGCCAAGCAGAAGACAGTGAACGGGGGTGTTTCTCGGTCTTGTCCCTCTGTCAAGATCTACATTCCAGGAGGAGGCTGCTGATTGCTTTTCCCTGACAGCCTCATCAAGACTGAAGAGCCAGCAGTTGGTTCTTCAAACCAAAATTGGTGGCGTGATGTCAGCAATGCAGCTGAATAAGAAAGATGCCCCTTGTGCATGTCCCACCCTCAACAACGAAAACTTGGCACCCACCCAGGGACAAATGTGCCTTGGTGGGAGGTGTGGGACCCAGCACCATATGCCAAGGGAACCAGGAGGAGTCTTGCCCACTGGCGCATTCGGTAATGAGCACGCAGCCCTCAGTCCTGGCTGGGGGGCCTGCAGGGCTCGTGCACGAGCTCCAGCCCCTCCCAGCTGAGGTCGGGGAGCCTCTGGAGAACACGGTGTCAGACACTCCGCCACAGACGAGAGAGCCTTGTGGAAGCCCTGGTCCCACAGGGGAAGTTCCAGCTTCCACCGGAACAGAAATCCTGGGTTTGGGTGCATTGGAGTGGGTAAAAGGGACAGCTTGAATTTCCAGCATCGCCCCTCCCTCGAGGTGGCACAGCTGAGGGGTAAGAGAGCCCTTTGCAGCCCCAGGATTTCTCCTGTGGGGGAACGTGCGACCCTGTGAGTGAGCTTCCGGCTTCCCCAGCTGTGCGGGGTGCTGCTAAGAAGGCTCAGTTCTGTCCCCTTCCGTCCAGAGGCCTGAACTGTGAGGTCCATGACTGGGGCGCAGGAAGAGGCTGGGACAGTGGCAGCTATGGCTCTGAGGGCACAAATCGGGGTGTGGAGTCCATCCAGGCATTGGCCCGTGAGCCCCAGGATGTCTTACCTGGCAGGGGAGGGGTGGATGCTAATACGATAGGTGGAAACGTATATTCATTGTAGTTTTAATTTTGATATATCTTACTAGGAGTGGTGTTGAGAATTTTTCATTCATTTAAAAGCCATGTATTCCTTTTCCATGAATTTTCTATTCAACACCTTTGCCCATGTTTCTAATTTGATTTTAGACTTTCACCAGCCTGAAAGTTTTGTAAGGGTGAAGGTTCTTCGTCTGTTTTACTCCCAGTTATATCTTCAGAATACATTACAGAGCTTGACATATGGTAGGCTCTCAAAAAGTATTTGTTGTAACTGAATAATGTTTTGATGCTCTTTATGTATAAACAAACTAAGTCCTTTGCCACAGTGCTGGAATTCTATATAAATAGAATCCTTCAGTGTGCAATCTTAGCCTACCTGGTGTCTTTCATTTGGTATGTGATTTTGAAATTCAACCATGTTGTTGTGTCACTAGTCGTTTATTCCTTTTCGTTATTAAGTGTTATTTCATTGGATGGGTATTCCATAAATTGTTTATCCATACATCTGTTGATGCATATTTGGGTGATTTCCAGGTTGGGGCTATTACAAATCACGTTGTGATAAATATTCATGTACAAGCCTTTGTGTGGACATGTACAATATTTCCTTTTCTCTTGGGTAGATACCTAGGAGTGAAATGACTGGGTCACATGAGAAATGAATGTTTAACTTTTTTTTTTTNTTCCTGGTAGCCATGGTCAAGGCTGCAGCAGGAAATAGCGTCAAGGTCACCTCCCCAGCTGGACTCAGCAGCATCGGGCACTGGCTGGTCACTGCTCTTTTGTCCTGATGCTCGGGTTCCCTTCTATTCTCAACTGTTTTCCTCTTTTAAACCTTCAGATGTTCTTGAAGGAGAGAACCACATGACCCAAGTAATGAATTACTAACACTTGTCAGCCTCACCCTGGATAGGAAGGTGTCATCCTAGACAGGAAGGTGCTGGCTGAAGTCAAGATTCTGGGCCAGAGATGGCAGGACTCGGGGCTCTCAGGCGATTGTTCGGTTCCCTCAAGTGGCTGAAATTAACTCGAAGTCTTCAACTGTTAGATCAGAAGTTTCTCTAGTCCTTCCCTAGAGTGATTTAAGATTGGTCAGCTCGGTTTAATGAGAATTCTTCTTTCTCTCTCTCCCCCATCTAGGTGAAGCAGGCATTGGCGAATTTAACCACACGGGTGCAGTTTTAGGCAGTTTTCCACGACTGGAAGAGCTTCAGGCTTCTCTGTGGAAAGTGTCCCAGAAGATCAGCCCGTATGCCCTCACCCGCTGGCTGGCTGACTGGCTTGCTTGTTTACAGAATCAAATTGGACTGTTACTGGATTTCTTGGAAGATGAGGTTGCCAAATTTTATACATTTAAATTTATAGTTTTATTACCTACATATATGATTTCGGAAGACTATATAAGATTCCTCGTAAAGAGGCGTGTCAGGAATCCAGCCACTGAACCCTTCCATGGCTCAGAGAAAGGAGTTACAGAATATATGTCGTGTTTGAAAATGAACTTAACCCAAATCCAGCAAACAGCTTCTGTTTAAGAAAAATGATTCCCATGAAACTTGGTAACATAGGCTTCTTTTTCAAAGCATCCGTAATTAAAAGCATTGTTTTAATGAACTGTGTTGGTCTTATTTTCTTAAACACAGAGGTTCATATTTATTACAGCCTGTTTCACTGGCCACTGTCGAAACTCTTTCGTGTTTTTATTTTATTTTATTCAACCCCTGGCTGTTTCAAAGCTTCATGTGAACAGTTTGACCCTTTCCCTTTGGTAAACAGCGCATCATGTCCTAAAATTTGGGGCATGGCCGGAATGCAGCCGTGGTTAAGGGTCTCCCCTCAGGGCCTCGGTGCCTTGTGATCAAATCAGGTTGAGGACATCTGTTTTTCCCTCTTACCCACTTAGTGTGAGCTTTGTCTTCAGCGTGTGGGGCCATATAAAGATATACGATATTCGGGTAAGATCCGATTATCACAGAGGAAAAAGTCAACCACTGTTCACGACTCCTTTATATAATTGAATGAGCGGACTGTGTCCCTGTTATATTACATTTGACCACCAGAGGGCACAGTAGACCACTTTTTGTGCAGACACCTGCTCCTTGTACAGCAGGGTTGAACTCCTAAGAGTGACACCATGGGTGGGGTTGGGAGTGGCTGGCCTCAATGAGATGACACTGGGGTAAAGGCATCCCTGCAGGGACAAGGGGACAAGCAGAGGCCTGGTCTTGTGTTCCTTCCCGCCATGTCATGTGCTCTGGGTCCCCCCGCACCCCCACCTCCTGCAGAAGAGGGACAGAACCTTGGCCTTAACCCGAGAGAGCATGAGCCTTGGATGGGACTGGCTTTGGCCCAGAGGACAAGGCAGGTTCTGATCAAGAAGAAAGCAAATGAAAAGTAGAGTGAGGCGGTGACCGAGGCGCCTGAAGCTGCTAAGCCTAGATGTCTACATTCGGTGGATATTGTCCCTTGGCCTTGGATTAAGGCCACCTCAACTGGCCAAGGCCACTGTCCTTACCAGAACACAGCCAATAATTGTAGTTTATTCTGTGGTCTAGTCCAGGTTCAAATTCCTGCAGAAACGTCATGGGGTGGAGAAAATCCTTTATGAAACAGTGAAATCGATACATAAATATTCTGACTACATTGCTAATATCATGTTCCCCTTTTTAGCAATATTCTCACTGAAGATCATAGTGATTGAACAGGAGACTCTAATTCCTTATAACGGGGCATGCTTTCAGTTTTACGGCTGAAAAA